ATCAAATAATTTGCCCTTTTCTTTTAAAGATCCCAAAGAGCTTGGACAAACATTAATTAACAACACAACCCTGTGAGGTTGGCATCGAGATACTGTGATGCCAACAAGACAGATAGAGAGCATTATAAATAAAGGTGGTCAGAAAATGGTTTTTTGTCCATGAAAAAAGTCAATGAAAAATTAAAAAAAAAAAATTGCTGTCAAAAACTCCAAAATACAGAGACAAAACCAGGTGGTTTTGGAAGAAAAAAAATGTGCAAATTTTTCTGTAGAGTGTGGGGACATTTTTTGGAAAGAAAAAGTTCAGTTTTCATACCACCAATTTTCCATTGAAACAGTTTTCAATGGAAAATTTTTGACCATACCTAATCATAATGCATTACAATCTCCACGAAGAAATGGATCACTCTGAGAAGTGACTTTGCCAGAGTTTCACAGAGAGCCAGTGGGAGAGCCTGGAATAAAACCCAGGGCTCCCAACTCGTAATCGGCTTCTCTAACCCAGACAGGACTAGGGCAATCTGAGGCCCCTGTACCCTAGCCCTTACATAGAAGGCACAGGGCTCTCAAAGAGGTAGGGACAGCAGCATGGGGCATCCTTCTCCCTTCAGGAATGGCAGTAGAAATCTCCTCTACCAGTGGGATAGGCCAGGATGAGTGACAGCAGATGGATCATACCAGCTTGGGTGGGTGGGTGTGCCGATACCGCTTTACTTTTCACTAGTGACATACAGAGTCTTCTTTTTGGACAGTGGCAAAGTAGGGTTGCTAGGTGTCCAGTTTTTGACCAGAATGCCCGATCAAAAAGAAACCCTGGTGGCTCTAGTCAGCACTGCTGACTGGGCCGTTAGAAGTCCGGTCAGTGGAGCAGAGGGGCTAAGCCAGGCTTCCCGACGGCCCTGACTCTGCATGGCTCCCGGAAGCAGTGGCATGTCCCCCCTCTGGCTCCGACTTGTAGAGGCAGCCACGGGGCTCCAGACACTGACCCCACCCCAAGCTCTGGCTCTGCAGCTCCTATTGGCCAGGAACCACGGTCAGTGGGAGCTGTGGGTTGGCGCCTGTGGATGGGGCAGCGTGCAGAGCTCCCTGGCCGTGTCTCCACATAGGAGCCAGAGGGCGACATGCCGTTGTTTCTGGCAGTTGCTTGAGGAAAGCGCTGCCCAGAAGCTGCACCCTTGACCCCCTCCTGCGCCCCAAGACTCTGCCCCAGCCCTGATCCCCCTCCCACCCTCCAAACCCCTTGGCCCCAGCGGAGCACCCTCCTGCACCCCAAGCCCCTCGTTCTCAGCCCAACCCCAGAGTCTGCACCCCCAGCCAGAGCCCTCCTCCCGAGCCCCGCACCCCAATCCCCTGCCCTAACCCAGAGCCCCCTCCCACACTCCAAACCCCTCAGCCCCAGCCCGGAGCACCCTCCTGCACCTCAAATCCCGCATCCCCAGCCCACACTGTCAGCTAGAGCCCTCACCCCGCCCCCTGCAACTCAACTCAGGACCCAGCCCAGAGCCCCCTCCCACACTGTGAACCCCCTAATTTCTGGCCCCACCCTGGAACCCTTATCCCCTCCCATACCTCAACCCCATCCCCCTCCTGCACATCAAACCACTCATCCCTGGCCCCACCCCAGAGCCCGCACCACCAGCCGAAGCCCTCATCTTCTCTTGCATCCCAACCCACTGCCTCAGCCTGGAGCCCCCTCCTGCACCCTGAGCTCCTCATTTCTGGTCCCACGCCAGAGTCTGCCCCCCTCCCACACTCCAACCCCCTGAACCAGCCCAGTGAAAATGAGCGAGTGCGTGACAGTGGAGTGAGTGAGCAACAGAGGGAGTGGAGGATGGAATGAGTGGGCACGGGGGCTTGGAAAAGGAGTGGGGCCTCAGAGAAGGGTGTGGCAGGGGGCACGACAAGGGTGTTCAGTTTTGTGTGCGTAGAAAGTTGACAACCCTATGGCAAATGGCCCACCCCCACTATATCCATGCGTAGTTAACACCATATGGTGCAGTATTCACACTTCTCAGAGCTATTGTTTCAGGGTCTCTGCAGACTGACAGATGTCCCAACATTGGTCACACATGAGTCACATTTTTCAGGTTATCATCACAACCATGGGCTATAAGAAACAAACCAATCTCCCTTTCTTTAAGGAACAAAAAATAAAACCCCAAACCCTGAAGTAGTGAGCTGAGATTCGATGTCATCCCATGAATCCAGGACTCAGGGCACTGGACATGGATCATCAGTGCCTATACCTGAACCTGGCCTTGGCCTTAACACTGTTCCAACAATCTCTTCCTTGTGGCACAGCGCAGAGGTGGCTTGGATAGTGACCTTTCACTGAGTTATTTTATCCTTCAGATTGTCACTTCAGACTTTAGAATATGAAGCTGTCAGCACTCACGCTGACCGTAAAGCACAGTACGTCATTAGCTTTAATTAACAAGGTAAAGAAATAGTGTACTCTTTAATAAAGCAGATTATATTTCTCTCTGGTCTGCTGCTTTAATGGACTCATTTAATTTCTCTTTAACTGTAGATTACAGATTAGAAAAGTAGATATAAAAGCTATCTCCCTTTAACAGCTGAAGTTCAATACATCTGTTGTTGCATCCTTCATCCTTTTACTCTCCTAAGATCTCTAGATAGGAAGCCTGGCAGAATGTTCGACAGCGGATACCTCTGCTAACAATCTCATTCTTTGATTCCCTCTCATCAAGCGAGAGGACACAGGATATTAAAATTCCATGTAATTAAACACATCTCTCAGAGTGAGATCACAGCTATACTGCTTTGTGCCTTAGTTCTCTCTCTTCAGTTTCTGGTATGCCATATTTTTTTTCCTCTCACTCCTCCCTACCCTCCCCACGCTGTAAAACTTCTCTTCTGTCATTTACAAGGCACCACTACGGTATTAAGGGATGAGCCAATGACCAGTGGGAAGTTAATGGGAGTTTTTCCAGTGACTTCACTGGGCATCAGATCAATGTTTAGAATCTGATTCTGCCACTTTTACTCACCCTACCTTGCTCACTAAAATACCACTCCCTGTGAATAAGGGTGGCAGAGTCAGATACTCATTTATTCTTGCCCATCACACACTCATGTATGAATAGGAAACAAGAATATGCCCCAAGAAGAAAATGCCTCTTAACAGCATAATATCCAGCAAGAGAGTAACACCCTTAATCCATAATTATAACATAAAGCGAGAAGGATGTAATCTTACAGAGATAAGGAAATGCTTTCTATGCCATCTTTGTTGGCAGGGTCAGATGACTTACATCCAGGAGTATTAAAAGGAATTGGCAGAGGAGACCTCTGAATAATTCATATTGATCTGAAGGAAAATATAGTCATTGCTGGTAAAATTTGCTGATGAAGAAAAATCAGTGGAATGGTGAATAATGATAGGGAGTGGTCAGCTCTACAATCCAACCTGGTAAAATGGTCTTATTTGATTACCATGCATCATGGAATCATTGTTAATTTCTTAACAGCCAGGGGTAGCAGGGGTCTTCTTTCACTTGCCCATCTTTGCCAATTAGTCTGTAGAAGTAACACAGTCTTGCAAGAATTTTGAGAGACTAAACAAAGAGAGGGAGAAAGACCAACTGCTAAGAACTGGATCAGATCAGCACCCCAGCTATTCCAGTATCCTTTCACAAGGTCAGTAGCAGATGCTTCAGAGGAAAGTGAAAGAAATCTTGAAGGAAGCAATATTGGGAAAACTTCCCCCAGGAGAGATTTCCTCCTCACTCCTAGCAATTAGTGGCTGACATACCCTAAAGCATGAAGATTTACATCCCTTCCAAAACTCATTTTGTTTTTGTAATGTTCACGGCACACAACACTGGATTTTTTTTTAGTCATATAGAAGTCCAACCCTTTAGAAATTCCACAAAGCTCTCGGCTTCTGACACATATTGTGGCAATAAGTTCCACAGATGAACTGTTCACTCTGTGAAAAAGTGTTTCCAATTAATGGTTTTAAACTTGCCCCCTTGTTCTTGGGCACATTGTACTGGAAAAAAAAAAAGAGAATCACACCTCTCAAATTGATTGTTTCAGGCTGTCTGCAGCATCAAGGAGGACGATACTGGATTTGGTATATATTCTTGCCCACCTTTTTAAGGTTCTCTCTGCTATTAAAAGAGCTATAAACTTTTTTGAATGAAAGTTTACATTCTTCATTCTGGACAATAATTTTGCAGCAAAAGAGTAGATGCTACAAGGACTTGATTTTGAGGCTTAATTCATTAATGTCTGTAACACTTTGAATTCCTGATAATAGCGGCCAAAAAGTGCCAAGAAATTTTATTCTCATGCACTATTTCTACTTACTGAAAGAGGTGCCTCTTTTATCCACTCAAGTTTTTATTTTGCCCTGTATAATATGCCCATGAGTTTGTCTCTCACTCTTCTAGTTTCTAGTCTCCCAAGAGTGGGTTATTTATACAGACTAATTGGCAAAGCCACATAAGTGAAATGATGTCAGTCTAATGTTTGCATAAAGTTTTGCAGTTGGCCTTTACATTCTGACAAGTTGGCATGCTTAAGGTTAATGAGAGAATTCATTTCAAGTGGCATATTGGGCATTTGGAAGAGCTTGATCCACTATAGCAGAACATTTGCATGCTACACACATTTCACAGCTCTTAGCAATTATCATTATGAAGCCAGTGAATGCTCCTGCACAGCTATGGTCACAAAATAGTTCATTTGAAATTTATTATTTCTGAGGTTTTCCAAACGAAACTGTGTGGTCTGTGGGCAGTAGTTGCAAAAGTCCAAAATGAAAACTTTGTTAAATTACAATCAAAGCTTTGCAAAGTGCAACACAAACTAAACCCACTGAAAACAGCCACTAAAACAACTGAGGTGTTATCACCTTATGGAAATCATGCATCAATGTTACATAAATTATTCTGACTCCAACCTTAACACTCAGTTCATTCAGGGAACAGACAGACACACAACCTTAACTCTGCCCTAGTAACAGAACACTCAGCCCTGGTCTACACTAGGACTTTAGGTCGAATTTAGCAGCGTTAAATCGATTTAAACCTGCACCCGTCCACACAATGAAGCCCTTTATTTCGACTTAAAGGGCTCTTAAAATCGATTTCCTTACTCCACCCCTGACAAGTGGATTAGCGCTTAAATCGACGTTGCCGGCTCGAATTTGGGGTACTGTGGACACAATTCGATGGTATTGGCCTCCGGGAGCTATCCCAGAGTGCTCCATTCTGACCGCTCTGGACAGCGCTCTCAACTCAGATGCACTGGCCAGGTAGACAGGAAAAGAACCGCGAACTTTTGAATCTCATTTCCTGTTTGGCCAGCGTGGCAAGCTGCAGGTGACCATGCAGAGCTCATCAGCAGAGGTGACCATGATGGAGTCCCAGAATCGCAAAAGAGCTCCAGCATGGACTGAACGGGAGGTACGGGATCTGATCGCTGTTTGGGGAGAGGAATCCGTGCTATCAGAACTCCGTTCCAGTTTTCGAAATGCCAAAACCTTTCTGAAAATCTCCCAGGGCATGAAGGACAGAGGCCATAAGAGGGACCCGAAGCAGTGCTGCGTGAAACTGAAGGAGCTGAGGCAAGCCTACCAGAAAACCAGAGAGGCGAACAGCCGCTCTGGGTCAGAGCCCCAAACATGCCGCTTCTATGATGAGCTGCATGCCATTTTAGGGGGTTCAGCCACCACTACCCCAGCCGTGTTGTTTGACTCCTTCAATGGAGATGGAGGCAATACAGAAGTAGGTTTTGGGGACGAAGAAGATGATGATGAGGAGGTTGTAGATAGCTCACAGCAAGCAAGCGGAGAAACCGGTTTTCCCGACAGCCAGGAACTGTTTCTCACCCTAGACCTGGAGCCAGTACCCCCCGAACCCACCCAAGGCTGCCTCCTGGACTCAGCAGGCGGAGAAGGGACCTCTGGTGAGTGTACCTTTTAAAATGCTATACATGGTTTAAAAGCAAGCATGTGAAAGGATTACTTTGCCCTGGCATTTGCGGTTCTGCCTTTGCAAAAGGTTTCTGGGGAGGGCAGCCTTATTTCGTCCTTCATGGTAGGACACTTTACCACTCCAGGCCAGCAACACGTACTGGGGAATCACTGTAGAACAAAGCATTGCAGTGTATGTTTGCTGGCATTCAACCAAAATCACGCGGTGGGAGGAGGCAAAATGCGACCTTGTAACGAAAGCACATGTGCTATGTATGTAATGTTAACAGCAAGGTTTACCCTGAAAGAGTGTAGCCACTGTTTTATAAAATGTGTCTTTTTAAATACCGCTGTCCCTTTTTTTTTTCTCCACCAGCTGCATGTGTTTCAATGATCACAGGATCTTCTCCTTCCCAGAGGCTAGTGAAGCTTAGAAAAAAAAAAAACGCACTCGCGATGAAATGTTCTCCGAGCTCATGCTGTCCTCCCACACTGACAGAGCACAGACGAATGCGTGGAGGCAAATAATGTCAGAGTGCAGGAAAGCACAAAATGACCGGGAGGAGAGGTGGAGGGCTGAAGAGAGTAAGTGGCGGGCTGAAGAGAGTAAGTGGCGGGCTGAAGACAGGGCTGAAGCTCAAAGGTGGCGGCAGCGTGATGAGAGGAGGCAGGATTCAATGCTGAGGCTGCTGCAGGACCAAACCAGTATGCTCCAGTGTATGGTTGAGCTGCAGCAAAGGCAGCTGGAGCACAGACTGCCACTGCAGCCCCTCTGTAACCAACCGCCCTCCTCCCCAAGTTCCATAGCCTCCACACCCAGACGCCCAAGAACGCGGTGGGGAGGCCTCCGGCCAACCAGCCACTCCCCCACAGAGGATTGCCCAAAAAAAGAAGGCTGTCATTCAATAAATTTTGAAGTGCTGTGCTTAAAGTGCTGTGTGGCATTTTCCTTCCCTCCTCCACCACCCCTCCTGGGATACCTTGGTAGTCATCCCCCTATTTGTGTGATGAATGAATAACGAATGCATGACTGTGAAGCAGCAATGACTTTATTGGCTCTGCAAGCAATGATTAAAGGGAGGAGGGGAGGGTGGTTAGCTTACAGGGAAGTAGAGTGAACCAAGGGGTGGGGGGGTTCATCAAGGAGAAACAAACAGAACTTTCACACCGTAGCCTGGCCAGTCATAAAACTGTTTTTCAAAGCTTCTCTGATGCGTACCGCGCCCTCCTGTGCTCTTCTAACCGCCCTGGTGTCTGGCTGCGCGTAACCAGCAGCTAGGCGATTTGCCTCAACCTCCCACCCCGCCATAAACGTCTCCCCCTTACTCTCACAGATATTGTGGAGCACACAGCAAGCAGTAATAACAGTGGGAATATTGGTTTCGCTGAGGTCTAAGCGAGTCAATAAACTGCGCCAGCGCGCCTTTAAACGTCCAAATGCACATTCTACCACCATTCTGCACTTGCTCAGCCTGTAGTTGAACAGCTCCTGACCACTGTCCAGGCTGCCTGTGTACGGCTTCATGAGCCATGGCATTAAGGGGTAGGCTGGGTCCCCAAGGATACATATAGGCATTTCAACATCCCCAACAGTTATTTTCTGGTCTGGGAATAAAGTCCCTTCCTGCAGCTTTTGAAACAGACCAGAGTTCCTGAAGATGCGAGCATCATGCACCTTTCCCGGCCATCCCACGTTGATGTTGGTGAAACGTCCCTTGTGATCCACCAGAGCTTGCAGCACTATCGAAAAGTACCCCTTGCGGTTTATGTACTCGGCGGCTTGGTGCTCCGGTGCCAAGAAAGGGATATGGGTTCCGTCTATAGCCCCACCACAGTTAGGGAATCCCATTGCAGCAAAGCCATCCACTATGACCTGCACATTTCCCAGGGTCACTACCCTTGATATCAGCAGATCTTTGATTGCGTGGGCTACTTGCATCACAGCAGCCCCCACAGTAGATTTGCCCACTCCAAATTGATTCCCAACTGACCGGTAGCTGTCTGGCGTTGCAAGCTTCCACAGGGCTATCGCCACTCGCTTCTCAACTGTGAGGGCTGCTCTCATCTTGGTATTCATGCGCTTCAGGACAGGGGAAAGCAAGTCACAAAGTTCCATGAAAGTGCCCTTACGCATGCGAAAGTTTCGTAGCCACTGGGAATCGTCCCAGACCTGCAACACTATGCGGTCCCACCAGTCTGTGCTTGTTTCCCGAGCCCAGAATCGGCGTTCCACAGCATGAACCTGCCCCATTAGCACCATGATGCATGCATTGTCAGGGCCCATGCTTTCAGAGAAATCTGTGTCCATGTCCTGATCACTCACGGGACCGCGCTGACGTCGCCTCCTCGCCCGGTATCGCGTTGCCATGTTCTGGTGCTGCATATACTGCTGAATAATGCGTGTGGTGGTTAATGTGCTCCTAATTGCCAAAGTGAGCTGAGCGGGCTCCATGCTTGCCGTGGTATGGCGTCCGCACAGAAAAAAGGCGCGGAACGATTGTCTGCCGTTGCTCTGACGGAGGGAGGGGCGACTGACGACACGGCTTACAGGGTTGGCTTCAGGAAGCTAAAATCAACAAAGGGGGTGCCTGTACATCAAGGAGTATTTCAGGCAGGACTGCACGGAGGGTTCCAATAAGAAATGGTGCACCTAAGTTATCGTTGTTATTGGAACAAGGAGGTTAGCCTGGCCTCTGATTGATACATGGCTAGATTTACCTCGCTGCACCTTCTCTGTGAGTGACTGCAGTGTGACCTAGAGGAATGAGTCCCCTAGACAGGGGAGGAGGCAAATGAGTACAAAACAAATCTGGTCTATTTCTTGTTTTGACCCACTCCATCTATCTTTTACATCTTTGGCTGGCAGCAGACGGTGCAGAAGGACTGCATGCCATCCACATCTCATGGCTGCTCGGCAGAAGATGGTACAGTACGCCTGCTAGCCATCCCCATCTCTTGCCTGCCTGGCAGAAGATGGTGCAATACGACTGCTAGCAATCCTCATCTCTTGCCTGCCTGGCAGAAGATGGTACAGTACGACTGCTAGCAGTCCGTATCGCCTGCCTGCTCACCATAAGACGGTTCAATAGGACTGACTGCAGGACTAAAGAGAATGACCTGGTCAAGTCACTCCAAATTTAGTCCCTGCGCCCATGTCTGCCCAGGCGCTCCCAGCCGACGCGGCCAGGAGCACCTCGGACACGATGAGGACGACTACCAATCGTATTGCACCGTCTGCTGCCAGAAGGCAAGGGGTTGCTGCTACTGTGCAGCAAAGCCGTACCGCGTCTGCCAGCACCCAGGAGACATAGGGTGACGGTTACCTGAGCGGGCTCCATGCTTGCTGTGGTATGGCGTCTGCACAGGTAACTCAGGAAAAAAGGCGCGAAATGATTGTCTGCCCTTGCTTTCACGGAGGGAGGGAGGGAACGGGGGCCTGACGACACGTACCCAGAACCACCCGCGACAATGTTTTAGCCCCATCAGAGCGCTCCATTGTGACTGCTCTGGACAGCACTCTCAGATGCCCGATTGTTTGCCATTGCTCTGACGCTGGGAGGGGCGCTTACAGGGTTGGCTTCAGGGAGCTAAAATCAACAAAGGGGGTGGCTTTACATCAAGGAGTATTTCAGGCAGGACTTCACAGAGGGTTCCAATAAGAAATGGTGCACCTAAGTTATTGTCCTTATTGGAGCAAGAAGGTTAGCCTGGCCTCTGATTGATACATGGCTAGATTTACCTCGCTGCACCTTGACTGCAGTGTGATCTAGAAGAATGAGTCCCCTAGACAGGGGGGGGGGGAAGCAAATGAGTACAAAACAAATCTGGTCTATTTCTTGTTTTGACCCACTCCATCTATCTTTTACATCTTTGGCTGGCAGCAGACGGTGCAGAAGGACTGCATGCCATCCACATCTCATGACTGCTTGGCAGAAGATGGTACAGCACGACTGCTAGCAGTCCGTATCGCCTGCCCGCTCACCATAAGACGGTTCAATAGGACTGACTGCAGGACTAAAGAGAATGACCTGGTCAAGTCACTCCAAATTTAGTCCCTGTGCCCATGTCTGCCCAGGCGCTCCTGATCGACCTCACAGAGGCGACCAGGAGCACCTCAGACATGACGATGACGGCTACCAGTCGTACTGTACCGTCTGCTGCCACAAGGCAAGGGGTTGCTGCTACTGTGTAGCAATGCCGTACCGCGTCTGCCAGCACCCAGGAGACATAGGGTGACGGTTACCTGAGCGGGCTCCATGCTTGCCATGGTATGGCGTCTGCACAGGTAACTCAGGAAAAAAGGCGCGAAATGATTGTCTGCCCTTGCTTTCACGGGGGGAGGGAGGGAACGGGAGGCTGACGATATGTACCCAGAACCACCCGCGACAATGTTTTAGCCCCATCAGGCATTGGGATCTCAACCCAGAATTCCAATGGGCAGCGGAGACTGCGGGAACTGTGGGATAGCTACCCACAGTGCAACGCTCCGGAAGTCGACGCTTGCCTCGGTACTGTGGAAGCGCTCCGCCGAGTTAATGCACTTAATGCACTTAGAGCATTTTCTGTGGGGACACACACACTCGAATTTATAAAACCGATTTCTAAAAAACCGACTTCTATAAATTCGACCTTATTCCGTAGTGTAGACATACCCTCAGAATAGCTGCAAAGTCCAATTGAAGGTCTATTCATCATGTAGCTTCTCTAAGAACTGTATATACGAGCTTTAATATCTTATTTTTACTCAGACAAAACAGTCAAAAAGTCCAGTCTTTGGTACATCCACATACAAGTCACCCACCAAAAATACTCTGAAGAACTTCAGACGAAGGCTATGTCTATGCTATACAATTCTGCTGACATAGCTATGTCAGTCAGGGTTGTAAAGAGGTGTGATCCCTGACCAAGAGAGCTGTGCTGGCTGGAGTCCCTAGTGTAGATGGAGTTATACTGCGATAGCTTGGCCTGGTTTACATTAAAGTTTTGCCAACCAACCCCCCTGTGTAGATGCAACTATGATGACAGAAGAGTGTTTGTCAGCATTGCTAATGTCATTGAGGACGGTAGTGTAGCTATGCCTGTAGAATAAGTGTTCTCAAACTGGGGCTCAGGACCCCTCAGGGGGGTCGCAAGATTATTACATGGGGGGTCACGAGCAGTCAGGCTCCACCTCAAACCTTGCTTTGCATCCAGCATTTATAATGGTGTTAAATATACATTAAAAACACTTTTTAATATAAGGGGTTGGGAGGGGGGGGTCGCACTCAGAGGCTTGCGATGTGAAAGGGGTCACTAGTACAAAAGTTTGAGAACCAAGATCTTTCACTGGCATATTCTGCATCTTCACTAGGGGGCTCTGCTGTCATAATTATGCCAGTCTAGGCTCTGTAACACAGGGAGCCAGTGATGAGCTGCCAAAATCTTAACCGGTTCCCTCCTCACCCCACAAGGGGGTCATTGCCCACGCCCACCCCCCGGGACTCCTGCCCCATCCACCCCCCTCCCCTGTCCCCTGACTGCCCCAAGAACCGGGCAGGCAGGTCTCGTGGGCCACGGTAGTGGGTGCCCACCCCGCCCCTAAGAGCCAGAGGGACCTGCCGGGGGGGTGAGGTGGGGAGTCCCGGCGGTGCTTACCTGGGGCAGCTCCCAGGAAGCATGGGGCAGGTCCCTCTGGCTCCTAGGGGCAGGGAGCATAGCTGGGGGGAGCATAGCTGGGGGGAGCTGTGGGAGTGGCCGCTACCCCCACTGATCACATCAAAAGTGGCGCCTTAGGCGCCGACTCTGTGGGTGCTCTGGGGCTGGAGCACCCACGGGGGGAAAGGCAGCTCCCTGCCCCGTGCCCGGCCCTCAGCTCACCTCACCTCACCTCCACTCTGC